CCTTCTCTCTTGGTCCCCTCCCTCTCCCCCTGATTGAGACATAACAATATGAGAGCCGAAGCTTAGAGTCTGGTTCTGGTTACCACACAGCAGTGGGAGCATATGGCATTAGGAGGAATGTGTGTTGCTCATATGTATATGCTCCTGCAGAATTTTGTATCTTTGTAAAAAAGCATCATATTACCTTTTAATTTATTGCACAGCTCCATCTTCCCCCTCCTCTGTTAAATCTTTAACATTGCATGTTATCATGAATCAGTCAGAGTACCATTGGTACTTTTCTTTAGGTCCATTGGTAGTCTTGAAGTTGATCTGCTGTGCCAATTACCTTGAATTATTAAACCTGACTAAATGGCTTATTACTGTATAAAGTTATCGCTTTTCCTGAAGTAGATACTCTAAAACACCTGTGGGATCAGCTCAAACCACATCATTACAGATGCTTTAATGCAGCGAAATACAGTTTGTGATTGCTTGTGCAGACATTTGATCGTTTGTAAATTCAAAATGTTTCAAATGTTTAGCTCTGCCTGTGTTTCCATACAGTCTCAGGGGACTTTGATACAGTGCAGAGCCCCTCCACGCCCATCAAAGAGCTGGATGACCGAGCCTGCCGGAGTGGGGGGTCCAAGTCCCGGGGCAGGGGCCGCAAGAACAACCCCTCCCCTCCCCCTGATAGTGACCTGGAGGTAAGGGGCCGAAAAACACCCACTGACTGAGCACTCACTGACTGAATATTCCATTTAAATCTCAATGGGTATGCGCTATCCCATTGATCGTCATCCTCTCTGTTCACTGAAGTCTCAAAACAACAGAGGAGAGGGCTGATAGAGACCAGGACCACCCATGTCCCTGTCCAATTAATGCACATATGGGCTAAACGGATGGACATAACCGTCTTTCATCGTCTCACTTGTTTTGCTCTCCAGAGGGTGTTTGTGTGGGATCTGGACGAGACAATAATCGTCTTCCACTCTCTGCTCACGGGCTCCTACGCACAGAAATACGGCAAGGTAAGATGCTGCCTTCACTGGCTGTCTGTTATTATTGTGTTTTAATCTCTATAGCCATCCTGCGCCATGTCAATCTATCAACGCGGAATCAGCAATAAGCCTGAAGTATACCAGCAGTGAGTCAAAAAGGGTCTTTTTGTGGCCCTGGGCTTTGCCTCACAGGCCACATACAAGCTATGCCATGCCCTGTGATTGATGGAGGTTGTTGCGGCCATAGACAGCATTCCAGAAAGGCCTGAAATTAATTATTAGTGCTGAAAAGAATTATCATTATTATTTTTTTTAATTGTTTTTGGTATATATTGATTGAGTTAATTTTCTCCTAAATGTAAATAATTGCCCTAGAAAGATGAATATTGGTCAAAGATTAGTACAAGTAAATATGAAAATATAAGATACGCCCATGAACTTACATTCAAAAGGCCTCATTTTAACCTCTAAATTTAACTTTTATGCAGTTTTTTTATTAAATGGAACTCAATGAGTATAACATTCCAATAAGCTTAATTTCCCTCAATATTTTATCTCAACATCACATCCACTACTTTAGGAATATTATAGTCCATTTGTGATGATGACCACATACATAAAAACTCTTTAAATGTACTATATATTATGTTATAGGAATACATTAAAAGTAATGTATAACTGCTATTGCTTACATTAGTTTAATCATAATTTAACATGCACATTTCTCACTTGGACAGACGTTTATTTCGATCTTCATTTTGAACTTATTTGGTGGTCTCGCCCTCTCATCTAGCAGCTACACTGTTTATAGTTTCCTTTCTTTTAATAGTTCTTGGCTCTGATCTGGGATCATCCTATGTGGCCAAGGCTACAGATTTTTTTTATTGGGTGATGTCGTTTCCTGTGGGCACCTGCATAGCACCAGCCAGCCTGTATGGGCTTTGCTTCCTACTCTGCAGCCTGCAGAGTCCATTCTGATATTCTCGTTTGGTAGTCAAAGAAAAGCTGGCACAGCATATACACACACCATTTGGAGCCAGACTCACATAGAGCCATAGGAGGCCCGGCGTTTTACAGATAGGGGGCTGTAGGCACTGATGTACTTTTTATTGGCTGTGCAGTGGAGTTTGGCGATTGGTCATTAATGGGCATAACTTGGGTGCTTGTGCATCTGTCTTTGTTAGGAGTTTTAAAACCTTCAGAATGAGGCCGTTTTTGAATTTTAGGACACTGTCTGATCCTCACTTCCTCAAAAGCCTGTTTGAGGGTTCAGATTTGGTTTTCAGGTTCAGGTTAGAATTAGGTTTAGGTTGGGCATTTAGTTGTGATGGTTAAGTTTAGGGTTAAGGGCTGAGGAACGCCTTATGTCAATCAGTGTTTCTTTTACTTCATTTGTGGGGCCCCGCCTTCCTTTTGGGGCTAAAATGCATTTTCATTTTAGGGTGAAGACTTAATGTACGGTTAGGGTAAGGTTTAGGATTATAATATCACAAGTAGTCTCCTGACTTGCAAAGATATAATGAATGAAATGTTAATGGCTCAAATAAGGTTTCATGTGACCTCTGATAACGTGCCATGTTTTGTATTAAAAATAATTTTAAGAGCATTTGTTCACCTCGTTTGCTGCTGCTCTCAAGAAATGTCGTGGCAGCTGTGTCTGTTCACACCTCGCCCAAAATAGTGTTTACACTGTTGACATAGCAACCACGAGACCTAAGCACCCTTCTCATACGGGCTGTGAGTGTCTATCTGCTCTAAACGATGCTTCACTTTTTAATAAATATACATACATACACACAGAGTTATTATAACGATCACGAGGTGTTGAGTTTCCGGTGCTCAAATGATAACAGCAGAGGTGGAGAATGGAATTGTTTCAAGCTACTTTTGCCGGGACAAAGTAGTAATTATCTGTGATTGATTGAACTTGTCTGGCCAACTATTTTTTTTTTTTTAAAAGGCCACCTCAGCCTTTATGGAGCCCAAAGCAACAGCCCAATTCAACTGCTCAAAGGGAATAAACACATTTCTGCCTCGAGTGTTTCGACACCCACTGATGTCAGTAACTCTCTTTGGCTGGCAGCCAACATAATCATTACATGAGAGGCATAAGTGCCTCTTGTCTCTGTGATTGACAGGGAAGCAGGAAAATAAATGCAGACAGAATTGCTGCTTTCACTATTAGCAGCTCTCAAGTTCTGGAGAGCGCTATACACACTTTCTCAGCCCATGTGCCTCGCTCACTTTCACTATCTTTCCTGTTAGTTTCTTTCTATTCTGGTCGTCTGACGGCGTCAGCGAATCGTGCGGCAAGCTGTCGTCCCTTGCTGACCTATCACAGATGATGGTTTTTGCAGCTGAGCCCCCGGCTCACACATACACGCACAAACCATTGACATACCACATACACTCTGTATCCCTTTGAGGGTGTGCCTACTCTCTGCAATGCACACATGAAGACACACACTCCCCCCCCCCCCCCCCCCCCCCCCCCCCCCCACAAACACCCCACCAGCACCAAGCATGAGGAATGTTGATGGGACAGAACAAGTGCAACCTGTCTGTCAGCATCTGCTGTGATGAGTGGAGCGTACCAACTCTAAAAGTGAGCGTGTGGGGGCCAGGGGTGTGAATTTAGGAAGAAGTAGGAGGCGTGTCAAAGCAGAAACCTTTTTTTGGGACAAGAGGAAGTGACGTCTCTCAAATAGTTTTTCATAATGGTGATGTCATGACGGTAATGAGGATGTTATCTTCCTCTTCCATTAGGACCCTCCGATGGCGGTAACGCTGGGTCTGAGGATGGAAGAGATGATCTTCAACTTGGCGGACACACACTTATTCTTCAATGATCTGGAGGTGAGACACACGTCACTCTGATACAAACAAAAACACACATTTAAAAAATGTAAAGGGCATGTTGAATAAGATTTTCTTGCGCAGTATTCACATTTTGCACAGGGCACATCATTAAGCGCTTAAATACTTCTACTAGTACTACTGTACTACCCTCTATTGGTGTAAAGTGGTGTAACATACCACTTACCGTCAGGGCTGCACCATGTTTATATTCTAATTTTAGTGCATGCTGTTTTGTTATAATTGTTTGTATGAAAAATGGATAAATACATTTAATAACTGTAAACATATTTCTATACAGAGCTAATTCGTGACTTTATTTGTCTCAATACAGTTTACAGTTACTATATATGTTGGTATTTATATATTATCTATTTTTTCATGCTTCATTTCTATGTATTAAATGCACACAATGTGTGCAGTAAAGTGAAGTTATCTACCCATGCATCTGTTCTTGTACTTCTGCTGCTGTGACACTTGAATTTTCCCTGCATGGAATCAGCGGTCTTATTGTAACGTATTTGTGTGTTACTTGTGTCTGTGTGTGTCTGTGTGTGTGTGCACAGGAGTGTGATCAGGTACACATTGATGATGTGTCATCAGACGACAATGGCCAGGACTTAAGGTGAGGATATAACAATTCACATTGTTTAAATAATACGTTTGATGTAAAAATTGTCGATGTTATTGAAAAAAGATAATAATTTCCAAATCACAGTATTTTTTTCTGTTGTTTGGCTGTTTTTATTGATAATATATCGATATGTAACTGTAAAATATCGTCATTTCTTACTATATCTTTGCATTTTAAAGGTAGTAATGAATTTGCATTCGTATAAATACACACTGCTAGTGCTGAATAATGAATAACTGTTTGATCTTTTTGTTCTACCAGAGGTGATTTTTCAAATAAAACATATCATTATTATTGACAGTACTTACAGTTTTGCAACTGATGGCTTCCATGCAGCTGCAACCAGCGCCAACCTGTGCCTGGCTACGGGTGTCCGCGGCGGGGTCGACTGGATGAGGAAACTGGCCTTCCGCTACCGACGAGTCAAAGAGATGTATAGCACGTACAAAAACAATGTGGGGGGTAAGCCAATCCGACAGGAGTTTGCTGGACACTGGGGATAGACCGGAGGGTGATAGAGAGAGGCGGGTTTTCTTTATTTGAACGTGTAAATTGTCTACCAGATTAAAGATCACGGATTAAAATTGTGTCTGAAAAGATTCATGGACAAAGGCTACAGTGTATAATAGGTTTAACAGCATAATAATGTTAAATGTATGATGCTTCAACTGAAAACTGAGTTTTAGGAAACCTTTTCTAACAGCATTAATGAAAAGATTATTTTAAAATAAAACTGGAATTGGAAGAATTAAATAAATACGTATTAGTGGACGTAACATACAGTATATGCATGCTGTCCATTTGTATTTGATATAGATAAAGAATTCAGTCAATCTTTATAAAAACAGCAAACTACTGCATATAGTGATTTATATCTTTTTCACCAATTAAGCTAAACCTTCATCATTATAGTTTGTAAAGCCATAATGTGATATATCATGAAAGGCCCACATAACGACCATATGGATCTAACCCTAGTGGACTCCACTCATTGTGTCTTTACCTTTTGCTGCTTTTAATTAACTTGTGTGTGTGTGTGTGTGTGTGTGTGATGCTTTGAGGGTTTAATAAAGTCATGCTGTGTTTTAGGTCTGCTGGGTCCTGCTAAAAGAGACGCCTGGCTGCAGCTTAGAGCAGAGGTGGAGGCTCTGACCGACTCCTGGGTCACCCACGCACTCAAGTCTCTGTCCATCATCAGCTCCAGGTGCTACTTCGTTATATGTGTGTTCTTTCTTTCACAGAGACTGATATCACTCCCCTACTCCTCCCCTACACATTAACTAATCAGATCAAGATTTAGAGCGTGGGAACTAAGTCACGGACATTAACTCGTGATCCATTAATCCCTGTATCGATCCGTTTCATCTGTCCTTTCACCCACTTTTACACAAAACGCTCTGCTCTCTGTCTGTCCCACAGGAGTAACTGTGTAAACGTAATGGTGACCACAACGCAGCTCATACCAGCGCTGGCTAAAGTTCTCTTATATAGTCTGGGATCTGCTTTCCCCGTCGAGAACATTTACAGTGCAACAAAAATAGGTAAGGCACACATGTTCCATAAACTCCAAACAACAATCTCATATTGATGGAAAGGATGAATGACCGTAATTTAACATCAACTGACTATATATTCGACTTGTCCTATTTTAACGGTGCAAATGTCACATGTGTTTTGTTGGTTGTTCATTATTTCTGATGTTTCTTCATCTCCACCATATGTTACTGATATCCTGTTTCTTGTATTGATATTTAACTTCTTGCTTCAGTTGGGCTCAGGTTCACTGAACGGCTGGTTGGGAATGTTTGAGTTGTGTTTTATTTTACACCCTGTGTGTGTGTGTAACTGAACCCAGTCCACATTAAATCAATAGATCATGCTGGTTACACTTTTGCCAAACACACACACACACACACACACACACACACTCGACCTTGAGCAAGAGGCTATAGTAGTATACTATAGTAGCAGTAATTTTATATATGGAATTAATAAATAAAATGACTATGATAATAATACATTCTTATCTTAATCAGTGCTCCCTGTATATTAATACAATTACAGTAACTGTTTAATGTGTCATGATTCAGGGTTATGTGATATTTCTCAGTGTCATTTTATACAACTTTACAGTAATTACATGAATGCACTGTGAAACACAGACCTTGACTGGCATAACTTGTAACATTGGGAATATAATTAAGCCACGTGAAATGAATTATTTTTGTATTTTTAAGGTCGAAACGCAGCATTAAATTGTGAATTTCAATCCCAAAGTGACATAGCGTTTGTGATTAAAAGCACTAAATAACTTATTATAACTCTATTGAGTGCAAGCTTACATAATTCATTTATTCTAAATCAAGATGACCAGTATTTTTTCTTCTTAATTGCTTCATGACGTTTGGTGACCTCACGTGATTCCAGCATAGCTCCACCCACTTTTTTACCTGAGCAGCAGTCTAATCAGCCAGAATGATTGAAAGCACCTGCGTGGGTGTGAAGGGTCTTTATGTTTAATCACACGCGTATTATTCAGTTGGTTACACCAATGTACCGCAAACACTTAGGAAAGAAAGCCAAGTGCGTGTGTTGATGTTAGACCCAGTTTGTTCATGTGTGTGTGCGCGTGCGTGTGACAGCCTCCTCTCCTTCACCTCACCCTTGATGCACACAGCTTTGCATTGTCATGTGTTTTATTTCCATCTAAACAATAAAGAAAAAACCTGTGAAAGCCATTTGTTTGTCTCTAGGCAAAGAGAGCTGTTTTGAGCGTATAGTCTCCCGCTTTGGCACTAACATTACATATGTTGTGATTGGCGATGGGAAGGATGAAGAGCATGCGGCCAGCCAGGTAAACAAACGACTTCTGAACTGTGACGCCTCTGACCTTGTGACCCTCCTTCCTCCCCCTTGTTTATTTGTTTTTTTTGCAGGAAAAGAGAGTTGCTTTGAGCGCATAATGCAAAGGTTTGGCAGGAAAGTAGTGTATGTTGTAATTGGGGACGGTGTGGAAGAGGAGCAGGCGGCCAAAAAGGTAATGGACACGCAACCTCACCGTGACCCCGCCTTCTCCACAGTGTGAGCTCTGATTGGACGAAGCCTGCCTTTCTTTGCTGTAGAGGATTTGTGATGGTCGTTTACTTTTTTTCTGTTCTACTTGCTGTTTTTTTATTTGTTTTTTTATGGAGTTACGGGAGACTTATGATTGCAACTGTCAGGGTGAAGATCTGAGATTGCAATCTTAGTCAAATATACCAAATTTATGAGCCACCTGCAGCTAAATTGTATCATTCACTTCCTGACTCAACTTGATTTGTGTCACAATTGACAAAAAGAATAACTGCAAAAAATATACACAGAGATTAAGCTTTGAACAATCTCATTCATTTCAATGAATCAAGCAATAATGCTGTTTTTTATCCAGTGGTGTGTGGAGTCTTATTTTTCATTCATACTGCAATATATGTGAGAGAAAAGTAGTTATATCACAACAAAACCGAAGTACGTAGTGATATACTAGGACATATTTCCTCAAGTGTGAATATAAATCCCATCTCTTCTCCAGCTTTGGGTTTCATTCATTATGCTGGGTGCTGGGATTGTTAAAGGAACAGTCTGACATTATGGGAAACATGCCTATTTGCTTTCTTGCTGAGAAGATTTATACTGTCCGTTGAACATAATGCTGCAACCAGTTAGCCTAGCTAAGAATGATGTCTGAATAAAGGGGGAAACAAGTAGCCTATTCAAAGCTAACAATCAGGTTTCCTGGGTCTTTATAGCCCACTAATTAAAAGATTATACATTGTTTAATTCAAACAATCAGCAGTGTGAAAACAAGATTGACGTCCCTCATGAAACAGTCATGTTTACCCTTTTGTAAAGATATAACAAGTGAGCTTTCAAGTCACTTTGAAAGGTTTTTAGGTTTTATAATTTTGGATTGAGCACAGCTAGCTAGTTTCCCATTTCCATTTTCAATGCTAAGCTAACGGCTGCTGGCCGTAGCCTTATTGAACTGCAGTTATTTAATGATTTAGTTCCTCTCATCTAAATTAACTCAGGACAAAAGCAGATGTCTATGTCCCAAAATGCTGAACTCTTCCTTTAGGCCTTGGGATTGCATGGGTTTTTGTTTGCAGTGCTTTTGCAAAGCAAGCAGCTACAAGCTACTGTAGTGTAGCTTGCATGACTTCAGGTGGCGGTGTGCAGCTATGAAAAACTACAGCTGTTGGTTCTAATGATTTATGTTCACTCCACAGCACAACATGCCTTTCTGGAGGATATCCAGTCACTCTGACCTGCTGGCACTACACCAAGCACTGGAGTTCGAGTACCTGTAACTCTAATAGCAATATGGACTCATGCAATGTTACCGCAGACATGGTCAGCCCCCTTCTTTTGTACAACTATTTAAGAACAAATACACTGCATCCGTTTTTGTGATTTTTTTTTTTTTTTGTCTCTGACAAAACTCTGAACGGTCTTAAGAAGCAACGGTGGTAGAGAAAAGAACAGTTGAGAGATGACTCTAGTACCAAGC